GAGCGGAGCGCGGGGCGGCCCCGGCGGTGCCGCCGGTCCCGGTGGGCCATGGGGGAGCCGCCGGCCGCGCTGCCGCCGCGGGAGCCGCCGGAGCCCGGCAGTGCCTAGGCTGCGGGCTTTCTGCAAGTCATCGGGGCCGGGGGACGGGCCCCGCTGCCCTCCCGCTTCCCCAGCCCAGAGCATCCACTCGGGAACTGTTTCATTTATTTATTTATTTACTTCCCTCCGCCGTGCTGTATGTACCGGTTTCCTCATCACCCGCCACCGTTAACTTCCCTGTGACTCGGTTTAACACTTGAGACCTCCGTGGATGCTGCTCAGAGCACTTCTCTTGCCTTTGCTGTCCCTTGCTGGGATCGGATTCACACTACCCGGACCCTGTGTGCCTGTATGTGTGTTCTGAGTGTCTTGACATTTTGGTTTTCATTACAAGAGCTATGCATTAATTGTAACCAAGGTAAGACTCCCCTTTCTTGTTCCCTCATGTGCATGTCTAATTTAGATGTTTCTTTAAAGATGCAGTATGCAGTTTCTTTTAAGCAATGGATCATATGTAACCCTTCCATTGATGAATACTTGTGAAATAGAAGCGTAGAACTTGCCAAAAAAAAGAGACCTATTTAACAGATTTAGCTTGGCTCTACAAACTGCTCTGCTTTTCTCTGTTGCAGCAGCTGTGATGCTTAGAAGAGTAATTTTGTGCCTTGTTTTGTTTTCCCTTTTCACAGACCTATGAATGACCATAGGCTTGGCTTGACCTTGATTTTGATGGCTTTGTTGGAAGATCTGATGATGTGATTGCATGTCATGAGGTGATTGCTCTCCAGCCTCCAGCCTCCGTGGCTCAGTGTATAAACCACTCCTGCCACACTGTCACTCATGGACAATTCGGATTTTTCTTTTAAACAAACCTTGTTGCTATTTTTATTTTCTCACTTCTCCGTTCCCCCTTGTTTCTCCTTAATGTTGGGAGCCTTATTCTGCCCTCTGATGTGATTGATAGTCCTCCTTCTCTTGCTGCTGATTTCCAGTTTAAGCTACAATGGCTCTGAGTGGCAACTGCAGGACTTACCTTCCTGCTCGGGAGCAGGGGACAGGGCTGCACTCCTTCCCCGAGGTGGTGGAGCTCAACGTGGGCGGCCAGGTTTACTTCACTCGTCACTCCACCTTGGTTGGCACCCCTCACTCCCTGCTCTGGAAAATGTTCACCCCAAAGAGAGACACAGCCAACGATCTGGCCAAGGACTCCAAGGGAAGATTCTTCATCGACAGAGACGGTTTCCTGTTCCGCTATATTCTGGACTATCTCAGGGACAAGCAGGTGGTTCTGCCCGACCACTTCCCAGAGAAGGGAAGGCTCAAGAGGGAGGCTGAGTACTTCCAGCTCCCGGACTTGGTGAAGCTCCTGACACCCGATGACAGCAAGCAAAGCCCCGATGATTATTGCCACAGTGACTACGAAGAGGTGTCCCAGGGCAGCGACACGAGAATTTGCCCCCCCTCGTCGCTCCTACCGCCGGACCGCAAGTGGGGATTCATCACCATCGGCTACCGTGGCTCGTGCAGTATTGGCAGGGAGAGCCAAGCAGATGCCAAATTCAGGAGGGTCCCAAGGATTTTGGTTTGTGGAAGGATTTCTTTGGTCAAAGAGGTTTTTGGAGAAAGTTTGAATGAAAGCAGAGACCCGGACAGGGCTCCAGAGAGGTACACCTCCAGGTTTTATCTCAAGTTCAAGCACCTGGAGAGGGCTTTTGACATGTTGTCCGAGTGTGGATTCCACATGGTGGCCTGTAACTCCTCGGTGACAGCTTCCTTCGTCAACCAGTACACAGACGACAAGGTCTGGTCCAGCTACACCGAATACGTCTTCTACCGTAAGTACGAGCTGCGGCCGCTCCCCGCCGCTCCCCGCGCGTCCCGTGCCCCGTGTCGGGCTCCGTCTCCGTGTGAGCTGTGCAGGTGCGGCGGGGCTCAGCTCGGGCCGGGCTAGGTGGCAGCACAGACTGCCGAAAGTGCCGTGCCTGTGCCCGCAGGCGCTCTAAATCCGCTCCCGAGTGCCTTGCGCGCTTCCCGGGACGTGTGGGACACGAGCCGAGGGTGCAAACGCTGAGAAATTCATTACAGAAAGCCTTCGACTGGGATTCACTTTGCAAAGGTAATCAGCAGGCGCAGGCAGCCGAGCCATCTGTCAGCAGCCCTGACACGCTTCCACGCAGGAAGGGGGAACCAATTCCATCCCTCTGGCCGCGTTTCAGCGGAGCCGTCTCGGAGAGATGGAATTGGCTCTCTCAGGGCTGTGCTCCGCAACACAGAGGGCTCAGAGCAGAGAGGGGCAGGGGCTGGGCCAGGTTATGCAACACGCCCGTGGAAAAGCCCGTGTCCTCTCCAGAAGTGCTCGCCCTGCTTCCCGCAGTCACATCGGTCACATCGCATCCACGCCGCTCTGAGCCGCCCGCGCTCGAGGGCTCCTTAGCGTCGGAGCTGGTACCCAGGTCCAGCTGGTTACCAATGGTAACACCGGGGGAATCCAGGTCCTACGAGGCTGTACCAGAAAACCCTTCCACAACTGCTGTGCCGAAACATTGGAGAGGTTCATGAGGCTGTTTGCCTCCATTTTCATTTGAGGAGGATGAAGGATGGAACAACTGCCCCATCCATCAGTGCAGACAGCTGCTGCTCTGGCTGGTGGCCTTGGGACAGGGGGACAGAGGGACAGAGGGACAGAGGGACACAGGGACAGAGGGACACAGAGATATCGCTTGGCTGGCAGAGCTGCTGCTCTGGGTGTGGTGCTCACAGTGAGCAGGCTCCTGGCGTGGGGAGCTGACAAAGTTTTCGATGGAGGATGTATCAGGGAGTGAACAGTTCGGGTGTAATTCCGTGCATTCAGCGCCATCTACTCTTGTGTGGGGCTCAACAGGCAGCCCTAATCTGCTTATGCAATGAAGCTTAAGTTAGCATCCTGAAAAGACATCTGGGTTTTTGACATCTGTAGATTTACTTAAAATTAGTTTTCTAGCTGGATTTCTTAGCAAAATAGTTCTAAGGTCATGGATCCGCTTATATTCCAACAGGGATAGATGATTTGTGTTATTAAGAAGCTTCTGCTTGAAATTACAGTGTCTTGTACAAATTCCAGGAGGAGAATTAATGTAGGTAAAGGATTGGATTAGAAGAAATTGTGCTGGCATTTATATTTAATATAAGGAAAAAATATAAGTTCTTTATAGGCACAATGGTCTCTGCTAATTGAAGAGAGGATGAACATAGTTTTTCCCTGAATTAGGAAACAGACTCCTGATTTTCATGTTTCTCAAATTTTTACATTCAAAGATTGTTCACTGCTCCCACATCACGACAGCCAGGGAAGGGACCAAGAGGAGAGGTACTGTAGAACTTTTGGAGAATCAAGTTCATGGCAGGTGTCCCAAAATCATCCCTCAAGAGTTAAATCCAGTTGAAGTTCCCGGAAAGATTCCTATCCAGTCCAGCAGGCTTTGGATTTGGATCTAATCAGTTTTGTGGGGTTTTGACACTGATACATTTTCAGAGGTGGATTTTTCAGTGTCCTTCCCCAGGTAAAAGCCAAAGCCGTGGCTGTGGTGCCAGATGTCCCTTTCTTGTCCCAGCCTGAGTGGTTCAGTTCTGCTGCTGCTGCCATGGAGCTCCAGCTGTGGATCTTCCCTGGCCCCACGCTCAGGGCTGGCTGCAGCTGATGCACCTGACAGCAGGCTCCAGCATTCACCTGGAGCAAAAGAATTCCTTCTCCAAATCTCCCGAAATAATTTCATTCCAGTTGTCCCAAAGCCATTTCATCTGGACTTTGAGGAGCAAAAGAATTCCTTCTCCAAATCTCCCAAAATAATTTCATTCCAGTTGTCCCAAAGCCATTTCATCTGGACTTTGAGGACCAATAAAACTGACATCTGGCTTTGCATGGAACATGGCATCTCCTCTGCAGCTGCTTAGCCATAATCATTTATTTAGATGCTGCCAACTGTGTCTATGTAAGCATTAATCCATCAAGCTGCTGAGAGCAGGTTAATGGGCCTGAACCTGGGAGGTGTCTGGCACAACTGGGAAGGCAGAGACAGAGGTGGTGTCTGCAGGGCTGCTCAGGAACTCCTGTGAAAGGCCTGTGGAGGAGATCTTCCTAGCTGGAAAAGGGGGATTAGTTCCAAAGAAGGGAGAATGCAGGGAAGAATGGTGTTTCAATGCACCAAATGCACGGTATGCTCCAAATACCACTGGGAAGGTAAATGCCTGTGCTTGGCACGAAGATAAAGAAGGTTTTTCATGTGCAAATCCATCTGAAAGCGGCCGAGGTGGAGCGGCTCAGGCGGGGGTGTGAGCTGAGCAGCTGTCACAGGGTACAGCGTGTGCCAGGGATGCGCTGCTCCTCCAGTGCTGCAGCTCCAGTGCTGCCCCTCCAGTGCTGCCCCTCCAGTGCTGCACCTCCAGTGCTGCTCCACCAGTGCTGCACCCCCAGTGCTGCACCTCCAGTGCTGCTCCTCCAGTGCTGCACCACCAGTGCTGCTCCTCCAGTGCTGCTCCTCCAGTGCTGCACCTCCAGTGCTGCTCCTCCAGTGCTGCTCCTCCAGTGCTGCCCCTCCAGTGCTGCTCCTCCAGTGCTGCTCCTCCAGTGCTGCCCCTCCAGTGCTGCGTGGCCTTCGGTCCCTGCGGCCCTTCTGGGGCTGGCACGGCTGTGTGTGAGTCCGGGAGCGTTCCCAGGGAGCCTTTCCCAAAAGGAGCCCTGCGGGGTGAGCCCGGCACTGCCCGGAGCTGTTCTGGGGGTGATCCCGGCACTGCCCGGGGCTGTTCTGGGGGTGATCCCAGCACTGCCCGGGGCTGTTCTGGGGGTGATCCCAGCACTGCCCGGGGCTGTTCTGGGGGTGAGCCCGGCACTGCCCGGGGCTGCTCTCGGGGTGAGCCCGGCACTGCCAGCCCGGAGCTGTTTGTGGAGGACCAGCAGGGCCACAGTCGGGCTTCAGGCAGCCCCACATGGGCCGAGGCACGGCAGGGCTTGGGGACAGGCTGGGGTGGGGCAGGGCAGCCACCCCTGAACAGTTCTGTGACACACAGCTCCTGCCAGGGATGAGCACAGGACGTGCACTGGCTATGGCCGGATTTCTGACCAGAACCATTTTGTGGGTTCCCCCACTATTGCTTTAATGACCTTAAAGTAAAACCTCATCTCCAAACTCTCACATTTTTGAAGAGGGTGAACAGTCTCTGCTTGGGTCTTCATTTTCACCTCTTTTGGGCCTTTATGGTTGATGAACTGCAAGCGTGCACTTGGACATCTGGTGGCGGTGGTGCTGGGGCAGGGGCAGCAGCCGGGCTGGCTCAGCCACCATCACCTCGCCCCGTTCCGGGCTGTGGCAGCACCAGCAGAGCCCACACCGTGCCCCTGCCCGGTCACACTGCCCTGCCCGGCTGCTGCCACTGCCAGGAGGGCAGAACAGCAGCGTGGGGAGGGAGAAGGGCTGAGCTTCCACCGGCAGTGCCCACACAGCGGGATGTGTGTGCCTGCAGGGCAGCTGGCACCTCAGTGACACGGCCAGGCATGGCACGGCACCAAAGTGCCAGCCAGCCCCATCTCACACGGCTGCCACAGCAGCCCGGAGCCGCGTCCCTTCTCTCCAGAGGGGCTGGCAGGCAGCACGGTGTGATGTGCTGGAGCCTTTCCTTGCACTGCCTGTCCGCAGCTGCACACGGGGAGCAGCCCAGGCAGTGCAGATGTGCAGAGGAGGCTGAGCTGTTCCTGGAGCTCTGAAAGCCAAAAGCGGATAAATGCTGCTCCTGCAGGCCCTGCGCTGGCTCCGCTGGCTCCGGGAGCCTGAGGATGCTGCGGCCTCACCTCGCCCTGTGCAGGAGCTCCTTGCAGCTGCTGCCAGGAGGCTGATGTGCAGAGATGGTTGTGAAGTAGCTTCAGAGTATCCTGGGATAAACAGATGAATCCTCTGGGGTGGGGATGTGCAGGAGGAAGAAATGTCAGGCGATATTCCCCGATGCCTGTGCATTGGACACGATTCCCTGGGATAATCCTGGTGTCTGCTTCACAAGAGGATCCATTTGGGATTGCTGCCGCCAGCTGGGGCCTGTCACTGTGCATGTGTGACTGAGCTAAAGGGTCCCATAGTGATGTGCCTACCACCGACTCATAAATTCATTGTGTGGCAGAAATTTGACTCACAAAACAGAGCAGCCTTTGCACAGTGACACCCACAGCTGTGCTGTCAAATGGGCAAGATGTGGGAGAGGAACATCACCCGCTTCTCTTTAAACCAATACTGTCACATGATCCAGGAGCTGCTTCTGTCTGGTTTTAAATCAGTGAAGATCAAAATGACCCCAAAGCGAGCAAAATGAAGTCTAATCCAATGAATAATGCAGGCTTCTTCCCTGCTGACAGGAGATGTTTCTGTTTCCAGGTAATTATTGTCATCATCGATGCCTCTGGTCCCTCTTGCCAAAGCAAACCCTCTCACCAGGATGATCATCTGCAGGTGGTGGGGCTGCAGCCAGCCAGGTCTGTCAGTCTGTGCATGGCTGAAGGACCTTGCTCCGAGCTTTTTTGCTCTCCCAGTTTTTCAGGGCAGGCTGGAAAGCCTGCAGAGCTGTTGATTAGGGTTACTTCATAGATGAGAAATGCTGTTATTTATTGGAAACCAGTTGTGTCATATCTGATTGTCAGATTAGGCCAAGAATCTGCTGCTCAGTGAGTAAGCAAAGCAGAACTTGATGGAAGAGTTGGTTGGATTTAGGGCTCAGAGTTGGTTCTATCACAGAAGGTGATGCTGAGGAAGCAGCAAGGATGGCTTTGGGCCCTGGCCTGTCTGCCCAGTTCTCACTGGCACTGGTGACCCTGACC